TCTATTAAAAATGTCGCAAGGTAGACCCATTCGATTCCCCGCCATCCCATTCACCCTCTACCACCGCGAGCAGCACCACGCCATCTTGGCCATGGCTGAAGGCAAGATAGAGCGATACCTCCTCTCGTAATGTGCCACAGTCCCTAAAATTTTGGACAAGGTGCTTGAGGAGGTCGAGGTGCAGACTGACAGAGTGATTGAGTTGGTACAAGATATCTTCAGGCTAGCTACGTACGCTTTTACGGTCTCTAGGATGCTAGAGAAGCATGGATTGTTGGAGTTTTTAATCTGGCTCCGACATACTTATGTACAGTGTGGTGGTAATATTTTAACATACACTGGCTCGGCTGGGCAGGGCGCCCGGCAGCCCCAGCACCAGCACCAGCAGCAGAAGGCTGATAGGGGTAAGCCCGCGCAGAACCCTTTTGACACGGTTCTGCCCAAGGGTCATAAATACCCTGAGGGCTTCAAATACTGGACACGTGCCAAGCGGAAGGCTTATGTGTACACGATCCAGGAAGGCAATGAGTGGCGGCCTCTTGTGCCGCGTCCGCCTTCGCCGAGTGGGAGGAATGACTGGGTTGACAGACGCCAGACTGGGGCGGTGGTTGTCCCGTATCGCGAGCGTCAGGAACGTGGGGATGGGCGCCAACCGGAGAGAAACCCTTATCAGCGGTACAAAGGGTACCAGACTGATAGGCGTGATGATCGTCGCGATGGTGGAGGACCGTCGAGAGATCGCCGTGGCTAAGCAGGAGACAACTGGGGTCGAGACTCGAGGGAGCCAACGCGTGAACGCTCTCGCTCGCGCTCTCGTGGGAGAGACGATGACTCAGGCAGGGGGCAGGGTTAAGTGCGCCCGCCATGGTGCTATCTGTGTCAGAAGTCGGGACACATGCCGGAAGAGTGTCCACAGTTGCGTGGGGCCAATGGTCCGGCGGCTGGTGCGGCAGCTAGCCAGGGCAATAACCGCAATTGAAGGGGTGCGGTGGTTCCGATGCTGTTAGCGACAGATCGGGTGTGGGCTTACGCTGATTCGGGTTGTACATACAACCTGATCATTGAGAGGGCCCCGCAGCAAATCGGTGTCGCGCCCGATGCACCGTATAGTGGACCACCGTTAAGTGGCCTGGTCAACATGGGTGAGTTGAACCCTTCCCATGTGGTGGGGCATGAGAGTGGGGCAGGATAGGTTTGCCTTGTTGGAAGGGCAGCCCTTCCATGTGGTACAACAGATACCCATGATCGGGTTTGTCCAGATGAGGCAGTCAGAGTGGGCACTGATGTGGGCGAACGGCAGTATGATCGTAGTACCGCAGTCGCTTATCAGATGGCAGTGGCTCAAGGACACGAATGTCCTTGTTCCACCGCGGGTGAAGGCCATACTAGGCATAGTCAGGAATGGCTCCCCGGTGAGGCCGGGTCGCGTTAAGCGTCGAAAGCTTGCGCGCAAGTCGGCGGGTGCAGCGGTAGCGATGCGATAGCTTGTGCAAGACTACGCATGGAGTGAGAGTGAAGGCGTCAAGGTGGATTCGGACGAGGGTGAAGACTCCGGAGGTATGGTAGGTGATGAGACGATAGTTAGGATGCGCTCCCCAAACCCTGAGCGGTTGGGAAGCGTGAAAGTTGGGCAGTCGGGTCAGGAAGGACCTGTGCTGCGTTTGAGAGCCCCTAGTCCTCTAAGGACAGGGAATAGAACTAAAGCCAGATCAGTGGTCTATGCCAGTGTGCGAAAGCCGCTTGAGACCGAGAACGGGATGCGAGAACAACCGCCCCAGCGCTAGTGGTAGTAAGTCGCAGGTCATCGGCAGGGGCGTTCCCCGATAAAGCGTCGGCGTGACATAGCCCCGGATGGGAGAGGTACATGGACTGTACTCCCCTAGGATCCCGGACCTGGTGAACAGAATCGACCTTCCCACGGATGCGCTCGATGAGTTGGACCAGCCTGTGTTGGAAGACTGTGATGTCCGTGAGTGATGTCCGTGAGGACAAGACAATAGAGTTCGACCGGTCTGGCTTACGGCAGCTTGCGCGTGAGCTAGGCAAGATGCCGGAGGAGCTAGCACGGATAAAGGCGCGCATAGAAGCACGTGCGCATGACAAGGCGGCCCACCGTTTTATGAAGGTGGATAAGTTGAAGTTGTACCCGAAGCTGAATGTGGTGCCCGCCCGGCTGTGCCACAGAGACAACCTGGACAAAGAACACCCTCAACAGCAAGCGCAGAAGGCGAAGATCGATCAGATGGTGGCCCAAGGGATCATTGAGAAGCAGACCGACAATAGTGTCTTGTGGATCTCCAAGGCAATGATGTACAAACTTCGCCAAGTGGCGAGAGAAGTTGGAGCAGGAGCCTTTCGGCATCCCCTCCGAGCAGAATATGTTTAGGCATATTACTGGCAAGCCCTGGGTCACAGTGTTGGACTGTGAAAATGGCTTTGCCCAGTTGGAGCTGGATGCGGGCAGTATATTGACTTTCATGACTCCGTGGGGTCGATACCGTTACACGTCCTTACCCTTTGGCTTAGCTGAGGCCTCGTGGCGATTCCAGGAGGTCCTCAGCTGGATCTTTGATGCCTTGGAGGGCGTCATGTGGTACATCGACGACATCGTTCTAGCGTCGGACACAGCTGCGCAGCACTGGCGGCGTTTGGACGAGTTCCTTGATCGTTGTGAGCAGTACGGCGTACATCCTGGCTTGCGGAAGGCTCGGGTGGCGTACCATAAGCGCCCGGTTAAGCTCCTAGGGCGGTGGGCTGGTATCGAGGGAGTCTCGATTGCGGCGGACCGTCTGGCACCGTTGCTTGAGGTTGACCGTCCCGATACCCAGGACCGTGTCCGGTCATGGTACCACACGGTGGCGTTCTAACTGGCGCCTATCTCGCAGCTTATGCAGGATGGTGTTAAGTTTGAGTGGGGCTCGCGACAGCAGGCGGCCTTTCGGCTCATCAATGAGCAACTCAGGAAGTGTGCGACTCTGGTCCAACCACGACCGGAGGAACCGTTGTATCAATCCGCGGATGCGTGTGAGCACATAGGGGTTGGGGGCGTCACGTATGTGCTGCGTGACGGCAAACTTTGGCCGGTGGCATACTTTTCGTCCAAGTTTGCACCTGCTCAGTTGAATTATCACATCACAGATAAGGAGTGGCTGGCACAGGTTTATGGCATTCGCAAGCAATGGCCTAAGTACAAGCGCTCGCACCACCCGGTAACGCTGTTCTCAGATCATGAGGCCTTATTGTCTATGTGGCATATGGATGCATTCCGTACAGACCCGCGGGGCCGTCGGCAGAGGCGATGGCAGGAGGTCTGCCGAGACATCGATGTGATGCTGTTGCATGTTCGAGGCGTTGACAATGGTCCAGCGGACATATTGAGCCGTCTCACGGTCACAGTCGACCCATCATGGGACAGGTGGAGGGCCAAGGACTAAATCCTAAGCGGCGGGTTACCTGACGGTAGGAGGTCTGCCGAGACATCAATGTGATGCTGTTGCATGTTCGAGGCGTTGACAATGGTCCAGCGGACATGTTGAGCCGTCTCACGACCACAGTCGACCCCATCATGGAACAGGTGGGGGGGCAAGGACTAAATCCTAAGCGGCGGGATACCTGGCGGTAGGATGTCTACCGTGATATCGATGTGATGCTGTTGCATGTTCGAGGCGTTGACAATGGTCCAGCGGACATGTTGAGCCGTCTCACAGCCACAGTCGACCCATCATGGGACAGGTGGGGGGCCAAGGACTAAATCCTAAGCGGCGAGGATACCTGACGGTAGGAGGTCTGCCGAGACATCAATGTGATGCTGTTGCTTGTTCGAGGCGGTTGACAATGGTCCAGCGGACATGTTGAGCCGTCTCACAGCCACAGTCGACCCCATCATGGAACAGGTGGGGGGCCAAGGACTAAATCCTAGGCGGCGGGGTACCTGGCGGTATCCGGTTGCTCGTGACTCGAAGCCTCGGACGAATAAGTATAAGGTGGCGGGATTTGTCTTTAACAAAGCTGAGAGGGAATGGGGCCCGCATACCCACGATGCGTTTGCCCTACCTGGGAACCAGCTGCTGCCGAAGTATTTCTCCCCCTCCACGCTTGGGGGAGCGGTGGCCGAGTCCTAGGTTGGTCTCAACATTTGGGCCACCAACGCACCGTGGGAGTTACTTCCCCGCGTTCTGGCTAAGGTGATTGCGGAGCAGCTCGAAATTATGCTAGTCTGTCCGTACATGCCTAATTCGGACTGGTGGGGTGTCATGGCCAAGATGTTAGCTAGGGAGCCGATTGTGATACCGCCGCAGAAAGGTGTGTTCTTTCGGCACGGTCATGAGCCCTTGGAGGATCCCCCATGGGGTCCTACCCTATTGTACCGTATACCGTATACTAAGAGGGTAAGTTTGTCGGATGAGTTTTGGGCGGGTGTCCATGCGTTAGCCAAGCACCCAGTGGCAGGCTGTGCGCTGGCTCCTGCGTTGAAGTTTCATCCGCAGCGTGCCCCGTTGGTACCCACGGACCGTGAGGAAGGGTCTCTGGTAGAGGATTCCACAGACTCTGGGGAGCAGGCCCAAGCGTTGCGTGAAGGGTTTATACGGCGCAGGGAGCAGCGTCGGCAGGCTAGTGCTAAGCTCTTGGCAAAGCAGGGCGACTCGCCATACACCATAAAAGGGCTACAGCTGACGTGGCCGGAGGTCCGGAATGTGATAGGCGCTGCGCATAATGTGTACATGCATGCGGGTGCGGATAAGGTCTGGCCAAGCTTCAGGAGCTGTATGGCTGGACTGGCTTGGGTGACCTAGCGTTGGCGGTGCGCCGTTCGTGCCACAGTTACTAAATGAGGGAGCCTCATGGCAAGCGCCAGTATGGGCTGATGCAACAGCCGGAGCGCGCACGTGGCTTCTTCCAGCATGTGTTCATGGATTTCGCGGACCTTCCGCGTACGTCCGAGGGTTGTGCTTACCTCTTGTTGCTAGTGGATCAGTTTTTGTCCAAGGGCAGCCGCAAGGTGAAGCGTTACACAGTGGACCAGGACAAGGTCCTGGATTGCAAGGAGATCCGGGACTTTACCCGCAGCCAAGATAGTAGGGTGGACCCCGTTACCACGGACCTGATTGATTGATGATGATGCGCATGTTCGTGTTCAGTCTGCGCAGGCGGCCCAATTGCGACGTGGCAATGCGGTCCGTGAAGAGGCGGAGGACTTTGCTGCAGGAGACCTGGTCAAGTTTAAGGCTAAGGTAGCGCAGATTGGCCCTGCTAAGGTTCTGTCCAAGGACAGTGCGGTCATGTACACCATCATGTTTGGTGCGAAGCGGCTGACCCGTCATAGGACGCAGTTGCGTACGTACTTCGAGCCGGCGTGCCCGGAAGTGGCCCAACGCACAACCATGGTGTTCCGCTCGGCGTATGAGAACTGGTTGTTTCTCCGCTCGCCATTCAGGCAGGCTAACATGGATGAGCGGCGTTCAGCTTTACACCACATGACTCAGACGGTGTCGGGCAAGATATGGCTGGGGCAGGTGTTGTAAAAGCCGGGCCTCCACATTAGAATCTTGTAATATAAACGTACTCTTAATAGTACGTAAAACGTACTCTTAAAAGTACGCAAACTTTAGTTTTCCTTAAATGGCTTTTAACGGTTTTTATTTATTAAATACCTTTTTCATTTTACATATCAGATATTTGGACAAGGCCATTAAAAGGCCCCAGTAAAATACCAAACACAAGATTTGGTCTAGTTTTATTAATAGAACTATATTTACTTTCCAAATCTATTTATATCTGAATACTTAGGTAGCGAGATGGCTCAACCGAATATAGGTTTCTAGGGACTATTAGCGTTGCTTAGTTTATCCTCCGTTCAGCCAACTAGATGTGCCAGTCTGATGAAGGCTATGTCGGTAATTCTTGATAAGTGGCAAGTTATTGGTTAACGCAATAACTATGGACATCAGGAGTATCTTTCTTTTTCTTTTCGTTTTTGTTTTCTAAAGATAGGATTTTATGAGTCTCTCGGATTCGTCCCAACGAAACATACCATAGTTTCTAAAATAGCGACAACGAAACACTAAATAAAATCCCTTCGGCGAGAACAGTACTGAGAGGATTATATATAGACAATGTCTCAGCCTCACAATCCCTCAGAGTATTGCTGTTTTCTCGAGGCATACCTAACTTTACTAAACGACTCATTTCGTTTATTTACTTTGAATTTAATTAGACTTAGACTTAACCTAGGCGTTTAATTACTCCAAGGCGTTAATATCGCCTTGATAGACCGAATATTACAGTGTCGTCAGCCTTCACGATGTTGGAGAGGGCGTATGCGGCCAAGAACTTGGACGTCGTGTATGACATGTCGTCGGCCGTGAAAGATTTCTTGCGGTCAGCATGGGTTGGGGTGGCCTCTGCTGCACAGCTGGCGCGCATTAACCTGTGAATTCAAGGGTTGTCTTTTGCGCGGTCAGGCGGTATTCGGGCGGAGAGAATCAGGAGCTGGTCGTCGCGGCTGGCTGTCGCCGACGTGTGTGGCAGAATGCAAAATATGGGTTCGTTGCATTTACTGCTTTCGATTTTTAAAGCAAATCTTGGCAAAAGGCAGCTCATAATACGATCAAATTGAGAGTTCACTATCGAATACATCAAAGAACCTCATCCCAGACACGGCATAAGCCTTTCGTCACGACTGTAGTCCCCCGTGATAGTTGCTAGGTGTGCTTGCGATAATATTGCTGATCATACCAAGTTCGAGTTCTGTGATTTACAATCCGCACTTGTGAATACTGTCCCGTGACGGAATGCAATCTTTTCTGAAAGACTAGAATTGCTACCCTGTTGTGTATCGGTCAACCATTATCCTTTCATATAAATAAGCGGTCAACCACTATTCTTTTAAAGGGGTCAACCATTTTTTTTAACACGCCAATCACTATCCTTTTATAATAAGCGGTCAAGCACTATCCTTTAGGGAGTCAACCACATATTTTAACAGGCCAACTACTATTCCTTTTCAATATGCCGTCAACCACTATTATTTAGGGGTTCAGCCACATGTTTTAACAACGGGACAATCACTACTCTTTTATAATAAGCCGTCAGCCACTATCCTTCAAGATATTGTCTTTTGCTGTAGCTCGCCATATTCATTATTCTGCTAGTCCTTGTAATCATGTAATGATGTATCCGCTCCTTTTCCCGGTGATGATTTTTTTTAATAAGGCCATTGTCTTTTGCTTTACTACGCCGCACTAACACTTCCAGAATATGTGTATTCTTCTGGGCCCTGCAATGCCGTGTCAGATACTTTCCCATGTACGAAGCTCTTATAAAGCCTTTGTCTACTGCTATAGTGCGTCTGCAATCCAACCCAACATGACTGTGCATGGTAGGCCATAACGGTATAGTCTGGGATGATTTGCTTTCTCCTGTCCAAGGTACGTAGACATGGCTAACCGGCAGAACAATTTATTGCAAGATCTCCTACAGTCGGTCGGAAGCAAGACTACCCTGTATACGTGCCAAAGATCACATTTTTAAGGCCGTTCTCAACTCTCTTTTAGAACCCTTCTCAAACAACACTCCCAAAATACTCTATCGCCCCTTTGAAGGATCCGCTTACCACCCGTGTACAAGAAGTACTGTACAGTGTATCTCTTCTCAGACTCTGCGTCGTGTAGGCCTTTTAGGGTTTAGGGGTTTCAACCGGCTCATCCAACTGCATGCTCTTATCGTCATCCACCGTATCCAGCACACTCTTATGCGTACTAGCAATACAACCACACCTACACCCCTCTCATCTTGGGTCTCTTGGGAACGCCAGCGCCATTCTCAGAGGGTCGTTGGTTGCGTTTGCCCCGCCGTGTGCCTATCACATCATCAGCCGCTGCCGCTGAATGAGTCGCATCCACACCCTCCACAGCTGCGCGTTGCCTGCCAGACCCATCTCCTCGCTTACCGTCTGGCCTAGGCTCTCCTATACCTGGGCTGCTGTCTGGTACGCCCCGTGTCCCATGTGCACTGCGTGTATCGACCTGGATGAGTTCTGCACTGTGCCTCTCCCCACTGCCGTCACCCCCATCCCACTCATTGCCTGCACTTTCTCTGTCGCTTATTTCTCCCTTGCTATTGCTACCGGCGTGTCGTTCGTCATGTGTTGCTCGTGTGTGTGTGCGAGACTTGTTATTGCGCGGGTGCGAGCTGCTGTCACGTGGACTGCTGTCGGCAGATCGATCCCGAGTCTTTACTCGATAATTGTCCAGTAGGGGAAGATTCGGAGCCTCCAGTAGGTAGTGGAACATGTACTCTGGTCGCAGGCATTCGACACCACACTGTTGATACCGGGAGACGTTCATATCTGTGTCGTACTACGATGCACCAACAGACAAGATATTCAATATTAAAGATGTGCATTTTTAATATCGTCAGAGACATGCAATTGAAGCAACCGCTTTCATGATATTGTGCATATGATTGGAAGTAGCCTCTCTACAGCTCACTACAGATTCAATTGCTTGTATACGCGTGAACACGCTTTTAATTATAGTTACATGTATCTACAGGGGTTACAACGAACTAGCTTGACTCGTGTGTAGACGGAATGTTCTGTTACATTTATATAGTACAAAAACACCTGGGTACACATAAACTCACCTTCTCGTCCACAAACAAATAGCGGGCTCGTTTGAGACAATCGTCCGTGTATGGTGGAGTGCCTTCAATGACCTCACCACCACCCGCAGCCATCATGCGCCTCAGCACACTGTCCTTATTGGTGCGCAATAATACCTGCCGGGGTTTCATTGGCGGATATTAATAGATTAGATCAATACGGTACCCGGTGCTTTGACGACAGGAAGTGTAGTACAAGAACTAAGTGAAGTTCTGTACGAAACAGAATCGACGATTGCACAGCAGTGAATGTATATTTCAATTGTCCCTGTTCGAACTGACACCATTGGTCATGACATCCGTATGACAAGTGTCCCTTCAAATGTGAGACCCTACTTACAAACACCTTATCCCGCACAATTGTGCCTGAACACAATACGTGAGATCTATATACTATATACACATCTACTATATACTACATACGATGTACTATTTACACTACACACTATATACAGTTATATCTACCCATGCAGTCGAACATACCAGGGCATCGCTCAGCAGTCGCATTGGTTAAATTCTACAAACCATCAGCGAATATGCTCGTATAGGTACAACAATATCTTAGAATCACCTAATATAACATAACACATATAATCATATATATCTTAACCGACACACTTGAACGCTCACATCAAACGCACCTTCCACCCCACAAAAGCGCCGACGGGCAGTCCATTGTCGCGTTGCTTCTGTATGGCCACTCGCCAGTGCGCATAGGACTTTGCCAAGTTCCACTGCTCATCACTCAGCGAGTTCTTTGTACTGCTGTCAAGGGTGTGCCAAAAGGGATAGGGTAAGACCACGTGGGATACAAGGGTGTGCCAAAGGGGATATGATAAGACCACGTGGGATATAAGGGTGTGCCAAAGGGGATAGGATAAGACCACGTGAGATATAAGGATGTGCCAAAGGGGATAGGATAAGACCAAGTGGGATATAAGGGTGTGTCAAAGGGAATAGGATAAGACCACGTGGGATATAAGGGTGTGCCAGAGGGGACGGGATAAGACCATGTGAGATATAAGGGTGTACCAATGGGGATGGGATAAGACCACGTGAGATATACGAATACAAAGTATGCAACTGGACGATCCAGATACCAGCAGCCGTCTCTCGGCGTGTCTGTGGTGGTAGTGCTGTGCTAGTATGTGCAAAAGGGGTCTAAAGGGACTATAGGAGTAGAGCTCGAAAGAGCATGTATAGGCCCTAATTAGGCACTGTTGTGTGTTGTTAATTGTACTACTGTCAAGTGTGTACATGAGTCGGTAGAATAACAAGACGTGTAGATACGTGATAACTAATGATACCCAAGTATGCACCAGACCCAATCAGGTTCTCGTGGTCATCGTGTGGCGCGTACTCAGTCACACCGCTGTGATAGTGTGTTCGACTGGGGATGTATTCGAGCTCCAAGTTGCGTATAACTCTTATCTTTTCGAGTTTCAGTTGTGCATGAAAGAGTATGGCCACGAATAGATATTAATATGTAAACAGACCCGGACTATCCCGAGACACTAGCAGATACCTATATCCAGGATACCCAAAGTCACCTACCGGTCGACCCGGACTATCCCGAGAGTCTAGCAGATACCTACACCCAGATGATTCAAAGTCACACCTACCGGTTTTGCTCAGACCAAATGAACGGCAGTTCGTCCACCATGCGTTGTTGTTGGAAACACTGGATGATGTAGCCCATTCGAAGCACCCAGATGCCAGCAGCACAGGCTGCACATGAGTGTATATATGCGTGTGTGTGTATTATGTCCCAAAACACGTTTTAATGAGAAAGATGACCGTATGCAGATATATATGCATATATATATATACATATAAGTATATCGCATTCAAGATGAATGTATGAACGTGTGCAAGCATATACTTACAAGTTATATA